TATTCAGTCTGTAGATGAAGACGTGTTTTGGTCTCAGTACTTCTAGTATCATCCACTAGCATAGTGGGCTTCCTACAAGAACATCTTCTGTGACTAAAAACTCTTGCGAGCTGTTGACACACACACAGGATTTCAGTCATTAGTTGTAGTCGGAAGGCGTCATTTGTTTCAATGTTGAGAGAAACTCAAATTCAAGAACAACCTGTGATTGATATTTTCTGTGTGTCTTTGAAATAGCGTTTCGTTGTTTTTGTTTTGGAGTCGATAGTGACTAGAAGCATCTTTCCAAAAGTCCACTGGAGTCTACAGTGTCTCACACAGAATGACAAGATACTTACTCTTATTTAAGGGTTTGTATTTATATCAAATTAACTAAATTAATTTAGTTTTTGCAACAAACTACTTTAATGTGCTAAATTTATCTATGTCGGCTCACAGACACAAAACACCAGGAGTACGCCTCGCGTTTTTTAAAAGTTACAGAAATAGCAGCAAGCAGCAGCTGTGTATAAACAATATTAAAACAAAGCCATGAGAAGCTTCAGTTTTGATTGGAGCAACCAGTGCATTTACAAGAGGGGTGTACAGACAATTGACCTTCTCTCTCTCTCTCTCTTTCTGTGTGATACGGCTCTCTTGGTTTAGCATCGTACAGCAGACTCTGTGCATATGTAAAAATAGCTCATATTTAACTTTCCAAAAAGTCTGCTCAGTGAATGCACAAACATGCACATCTCTGCAGATCGTAACGGTATCACCATGGGATTTAATAAAACACTGTGTGAGATTATCACTGAATCCCGTTCCATCATATCTTCCCTCTCTTAATCTACCTCTTCTTTCTTCCTCGCTGTCATTAATCCATCAATCTTTTTTTTACCCATATGATGGATTACTTCCTTCTGCATGTGACACTAGAACATGATTGGTCACTTCCGATGACATCTTCCTCAGTAGATTTACGGACATTTATTGGTCGGGGTTTGTAGGTACTTTAAAGTGTGTAGGCCTACAGGCAGAAGCAGAGGGAAATAAATATGTTTTTTTCTTTTGCCACGGGTCCATATTTACTACACCCCCGTAAATCGAACCTGGACATTGTTCTGCTACAGCCATCCATTATTGATGACAGCATTCAGGCAAGACGTTTATGAGCTGAGCTGTTAGGATCAGTAATTCACTCTGTCAGGGGATCAGAAGAGAGAAGAGGAAGAGGGAAATGGATGGGAAGAAAAATGTATGAAGTGGGGGAGCAGAGAGAGAGCCATAGAAGCAAAGATGGTGAAAAAATAATGGGCATTTTTTGAAACAAAGCCTTTATTCACAGGAAATATTCCCTCCTTCTCTCCATTCCATCCAGCCTTTTCTCCAGCTATCATGTTTCCCGTGCCAATCAATATTTTATAGCTGTCGCTCCGGAGCAATGAACTCCCCCTCCCAGCTCTCTGAATGACAGATGAGGGTGAGAAAGGGTGTCGGGGCAAAGTGGAAAGGCGGGAGGGGTAAGAGGGTGTAAAAGCAGAGTGGTGGAGAAACACGAAGTCAGAGGAAAAATATTAATAGTGAACGAGGAGGAAGTGGAGCGAGTTAGAGAGAGAGAGAGAGAGAGAGAGACGGTGGGAGAAAGGGAAGAATGTGACGCACTAAAGAGTGGGAGAAAATTTTCCCACAGATAATGAAATTATGCAGTGAAAATGTCTACCAATTTTCATACTCCCAGAGAACTAATTACAGAACCAAGAGAGAAAATGTCAGCATCGTGACATCAAAGCGAGGACGCTGCCTACTCATTTTCCCCCTCCTATTTGTGCCTTGTTGTTTTACCTAAGCTGCTTTTAGCTTCCAGCCCCACAGTGCACTGCAATTCCTCAAGATAAGGACCGCAACTGCACACACAGTAAAGGGAAATAACATTGTGTGTGTGTGCGTGCGTGCCGAGCGTGCAAATGCACAAATTGTGTCGCTTTGTGTCAGTCTTATTGCAGTGTATACCCACTCATTTTTCAGTAACCAGACTTCTAAATCCCCTCTGATGCTCATCAGTCAGTAGTATACTCATCCAACGATGTCTTCAATTGGCCGGTACTCCTTGTTGCTTTTGTTGGTTGGTTGGGTTAGGACATTTGGATAAGCCAATCAGAAGCAGAGTAGGGCGGGTTATACTCCGTCTTTTGGGATTTTTTAGAGATGCAAACTAAACTGGCTGCACCATTTTCTAACAGCTGATCTCCCTCATTATGTCAAAGTAAATTTGAATAATTCAAATTCAAACCTGCTTGGAGGACTACAGCCTCCGTACATGGGGCGTGTGTAGTAACCACTACACTACCAGCGCCCCATAAAGGCCAATTTCTAGTTGAATTAAATATGTAATATGAGTCTTACATGTCACTGTTTCTGACACAGGCTGCTTATTCTTTGCTCGACGTGCTGCCTAAAAATATACCCACTTCTCCCGACACAAATACACCACTTCTATGTGTATATAATGATCATTATGATGTATTTGATGCAGTGTTTGTGTATAACTACAGCAACAAGGAAGGTCAAAAGTCTGATCTTCGTCAAAAAAGCTCTGTTTGTTACAATTTTCCCATGAGTCATAGCTGCCCAGGTGAGACAATCTCACAGTGAATCACCCACAGAAAGTTCCAGACAGTAATGAAACAAGATGATGATGGAGTGGGGGAAAATGCAAGAGAGAGGAGAGTGTGGATTTGTATGTGTGTGTGTGTGTGTGTGCATGGACTCTTAACATAAGTGCATTGTGCTTGTGTGCACGTGTGTGTAGTCCAGAGAAAGAGAGAAAAAAGGCCTCTTCCTCTCCCCTCCCACCTGCACTTGTAATCCTCTGTGTTTTGGTGACCTTGGCAACCTGGTGACAAAACACTCTTTGGGTCCCTTTGATTGAGGCCAGGGGTGGGTGTGAGGTTTGGACACACAGAGAGAGAGAGAGAGAGAGAGAGAGAGAGAGAGCTGGATGGTAGAGGAGGATAAAGTTCCTATAGTGCCCTCAGAGTTGGCTGCAGTAGAACTTCTTTCAGTTATTTGACTGAAAGAAGTGTGTTGGACAGTCAGTACTTTCCCTGCACTGTTTCTTCACTTCTAAAAGTCTCAAACTGAGATAACATTTTAGGACTTTTGAATAAAACAACTTTGGTTCTAACTACGGCTTATTTTGAGGCTTACTCTTTATAGTAAAGTCAGTCATACTCACCAGAAATCTGTGCTGCATGCTGAAGGCCCATCCTGTCTAATACTAATACCCATACTGCTAACTGAGAGCTAGCTATCTTAGCTATCTTTGTTGCTAGCTTTTTTAGATTTGTTACATCATCTACTTTATTCAACCATCCTCTTTCGATGAATGAAGTACTCACTACACAAAAGACTAATGGTTTGTAGAGATTTATAAGGCAAGAATTAATGCATACGTCGTTGGAAAACTCTGGGTTAATTTATTGTTACATTTGTGACCTGGCTAGATAGCTTGCTAACAATTAGCAGGTAGTTATTTCTCCTTTCTTTGCATCCTGGGGTCCACTGACGCCAGTATTGTCTATCTACCTCCTATTTACCTCACATCTACCGCCCGTTTGTTTATCTACCTCCAATACACCTCCTATCCACCTCCCAGCTACTTCCCATCAACCAACTATTGTCCCTCTAAGAACCTGTTCAGTTAGGCGTTTTTAGCGCTCAGTAACCTTAGAACAAAAACATCCTCAATGTCAGCTGGTTTTTTTTTGTCACACTGCTCTCAGTTAAAAATAGTCCCGTGGTCATCAATGTCACTTCTCCCTCACCGACCAATCAAAGTCAAAAAGGGACCGGACTTGTTGACGACTTTGTCAACAAAAATGGCGGAGGATATTCTCGTCTGACTCTTCTTTTGAGCGCTACAATTTTCAGGTCGAGAGTTGCTGCTCATGCCGTCACGTTTTCTTTACATTGTAACTTGTACAACTCTTGTAACCAAGCAACAGTAAGTGGCAGTGAGAAGCGCTACAAAATGTAGGAACTGGGCACCGCCAGCGCAAAACAAAAAGCCGTAAGTGGACACGGGCCCTCGTTGAATAAAATGGTACACAGTCCTGAGAACAGAAATCATCAGGGTACTAAAGAGCCCGGGAGAGAGATCATAAGTAGAGACTCAATGTGCTGTTTTGATGGACTGGCTTCATCTCAGCTGGCTCGCATCAAGCTGCCTTATTATTTCACAAACGTTGTGTTTAGTGGCATTTATAGTACGACACCTCTTTTCTGTGGTTTTCATGTTTGTTCAGATAAACGCTGTGTTTACAGTAAATGGTCCTGGCGGTGTATCGCAGCATTTTCTGATTGGACACTCAAACACACACGAGAGACAACTATGTGTTGTTTTTCTGATAAACATGTCAGAATTTTGTGTAACACAATGGACTAAGGAGCGTCTAAATGAAATGCATGACTACACAACCTAATGCTGAGATGCTGATGCAGATCTGTGTTTTTTCCCCTCCTCTATGAGTCTGCCCTCTTAGTTAGTCAACTGTAACATCCTTGTCTCTGATCTTTGTGTTGATTTTCAGAAGCAAAGATTTTAGATCGTATTGCTCGTCTTTGATTTTAAAAACCAACCGTGGTAGCAATACGGCTTTCATAAATAAATGGTCTCAACAATCAACAGCTGATTAGAGGTACGTTTTTATGGCTCAGTGGAGGAAAATTGTACTCTGCTGAGGTCACCGGCTGGAGACACGGCAGTTATTAGTGATCAAATGAGAACGACATTGTCTCACACTCACTGAGATCAGAGGACACTGCTGCTCGCTGATGTGAAACACAAAACGATAATGAACAATTGAAAAAGTGCTGCATTTCCTCCCTGATCCAAACGCCTGTCTATTAGTCCTCTGAGGGAGTCGATAACGCAGAGTCTGGTAAAGCTGATAATCTGAACTGAGAAGCAGCAACCGCCATTATTCTAACATCTTTTTTCTTTTGTCCTCCTCCCGCAGTGAGAGACGATGACGACTTTCTGAGTCTCAGTGAACTCCCAGAAACCTTCCCCTCGGACCCTCCGGAGCCCTTACCTCACTTCCTGTTTGAACCCGAGGAGGGCTACATCGTCAAGAACAAACCTGTCAACCTGTACTGCAAGGCGACACCTGCCACGCAGATCTACTTTAAGTGCAACAGCGAGTGGGTCCATCAGAAAGACCACACTGTGGAGGAGAGGGTGGATGAAACCTCAGGTGAGTGAAGTCACATACTGTACACACAAACATTTCACCCGAGAGTGGAGGGGGGGGATCTGAAACACACTGTCAAGAACATAAAAATGACATTAAATGAAAACTGCCATGCTAAAGTTATTCAGGGGTTTTGTCAGTCAACAGGCTGTCAAACGTTTTTCCATGACAGGGCGTTTTTGACAGAAAATACCTGAAGCAAAAATAATCTGTGACATGTCAGTTGAAACACAAGAAACACTGTTTTTTAAAAAACGCATTAAGGGCGCACTAACACTAAGCAATCCGTACCATGCTTTGGCACAATGCATGTGTTGTATTACAACGTTATGTACATGAGGTAACCATGCTTAGGCCCGGTTTGTCCTGGAGCAGTGTGAGTGCAGGTCAGCGGGGGCAAGGGGAGGGGGGGACAATCGTCCTTAAAGGCTTTATATACGATTTTTTGATCAAGCAGATGTCGCCCTTGAGCACCAGCATGAAACGAAAACAACTTGTGCTGCATTGTTGTGTTAGCATGCTAATGCTAGTGATCTTTATTATGCGCGTATCTTCACTCTGCATGTAAATTTACCTGAAATGAGCGTGATCTAGAAACACAGTTAAGCAGTGAGTACAGTATGTTATTCTTCTTTTCTCTAGTCCCTCAATTAAACAACTTTTATACGCGAGGGGAGGAGTCGGCCGTCCGTCCTGGCGATGTAAACAAAGTGGAGATAGGACTCGGAAAACTCGAAAACATCACAGACAGTGGGACTCGGGTGTTACACCCATTGTAGACAGTCATGACTCAGAGTTATTTTCAGAGGATATACTTGATTTATATTACATTTAAGTGTGAAAAATCACATAAAGCCTTTAAGCACGGTACGGGACGACTTTGCCAGTGTGAGTGCGCCCTAACACACTGACTTTTAAATTAAAAAGAGCAGGCAGGTGTAAGGCTACTTTCACATATCTGAGGTGCAAAGTTGTAAAGCATAATCAAGCCTTTTATTCTCCTTAAGAGTTGACCTCTTTGCCTGACAACTTTTTACGAGCCTGACACTGATGATATTTCACTGCGTGCGATATAAAATTCTCACGATCCAGAAATAGTGGCTAACATTTCCCCCAGCTTGCCTCTCTGGTCCACTGTAGGCAAACGGGTCAAAGCGATTATTCAGATGTTTAGTTATCTGTGCGGAGAGATAAGTCACATGTCAGATGTGTGTATGCAGCTGTCCTGCGACCAATACTTTACTGCCATGTTCACAGGACAGTTTTAATAGGATCCGCAGTGATGCGCTGGACTGCAGCCAGGGCCCCACACTTGTCACTTGACAGCACATGCTATTACTCTGCAGTGCGAGGGTGATGATGAATCATGCTGTTGTTCTGGCAGGGAGACAAAGACGTACACAACCTGCTTTCTTAGACTTGAGGCTGACATGAGCTCAGCTTATGGGTCTCCACCTGCTTGTTAATGAGCCTCAGTCCCCGGCGAGCAGCTAAAAGCAGGCTGGAAACAGTTTGAAAACTCCTGATATATGCTACCTGCTGGATGAAATACACACTGGGGTCAACAGTAGCACAAATCAGCATGTCGGCGTGGATTTTGTTTTTTTTATTTTCTTGAGGCAGGTGAGCAAAATACTCCAGCTGACACAACGTATCGCCCTCCCAGAAGTTTGCCCGTGTCCAACAAAGACCCTCGAGCAAAACACAGCCGTACCTGCTTCATGTGTTACTTCTTCAACGTCAGAGTTGGTCGGCTGCTACGGTGCGACAACAAAAGACAGAAGCATAAGAAGCATAAGAAGCTGAGCAGTATACGTGGAAGTTTCCATGACTTACCTGTCACATGGATAACAATAGGCCTGCAGAGATGCACACAGAGAGCACAAAGAACAGCTTCAATAGAAGAGAATATAAATAGATGTGTAGTTTCTGTGTGAGGTGCATGTCGTATTTCCTTTTCTTCTAACCCTTGCCTTCTGTCTTCAAATATGTTTTACTTGTTTTTGATTTCTTAAACACTTCTCTGTTGCAGAGTTTTCTTCCTTTTCATCCCTCCCTTGGTTTTTCCCGTCCTTCACTTTCATCCCTCATTCTTTTGTCATTTTCCTTTTCACCTTTTTCCCCTTTTCCCTCCTCACTTGTGTTTAATCTTCCTCTGTGTCGCTCTCAGAGGCGTTCTTCAGGATTTCTGGGCCCGATGAAAATACATCACTTTGGGCCCCTCCGCCAACAGCCTCAGTTTACCCTGAGATATTAATAAAACCACAGCTCCATTGCACAATTGACCCATTAACCGGTTTAAATTAAGGTCGACAAAATGTTCCTCCTTCAATACTTTTCAATACGACACATTTTAAAAGAATAAAATCTCTGTTATTTTAACGACCACTAGTATTGAAAAGTACTAAAAGTAGTAAGAATATTACGTCTATTTTTAAAAACAGGTGTGTAGGAGAGAAGTGAGTGCAGCAAAAATGGCAGACAAACTCTTGAACACACATTAAATAACACAAAATCATTGGCAACGTTGAGATTTTGCGTTGGATTGCACATACGGATGTTCATGCAGTCTAACGCACAAACCAAGCATTGCCATGTCTGACACAGAAATCCCAACATTTAAGACAATGAGACAGAGTTTGCCTGCAATTTTTGTTAAATTAAAACAAGACATCATCCAATAATGGGTGTCAATCACTTTTGTTTCTGTTGCCATGGTATCAAAGAAGTATTGATATCGTTTGATTTTTATTAAAATCATATTGAAGTTCAATATTCTGGTATCATGACTACTTTAAATAACTATAACTTTATGTTGCTACCTTAAATACAGTTTAAATTCAACAATAACAGGAAATTCAACTACCCTATCTTTTAGCATTTGAATCATTTTGAACCATCTAAAAGGTTTTTTTTACTTCAATTGCTTTTTTGCTTTTTTTAAGGGTTAAGGATCATGTTCATTTATTCTTCCAGTTTTACCTTTAAAATGACAATTATGACTTCGAGAGAATCCAACTGTAGATTTATTTCAGGACCAACAGGGTCCCCTTCCTCCTTTAGGGCCCTGGGTAGTGAGTCCCCCTTTACCCCCCTCTACAACCCCCATGGTCACTCTCCCATTGTCCCCTTTTTTTTTCCTTAAATTGTTTCTTATCCTTGACCTTTATCTCTCTAAAATGTTCTCAGGGTTTTTGACCATTTATCAGGAACTGGACATGTTATTTATATATCATGACTCAGCATTTCTCTCCAGCATGAATTCCAAATGAACAATGTTAATGTGGAGTAATAGCTTGTTTCTTATGAATTAAACCATGTAATTGTACTTGGACATAATCTGTGGTACCCCCGGATTAACCAACAGATGTCTGTGTTTCTACATCTCTCCATTAGTGCATGTCCATAGGATCCTGTTTGTGCATGGGCATGAATTTTGGCCTTTGTGTTTATAGCTTGTTCAATAAGAGGGTGGAAAATTTGAATATCCTCTCAGGGATTTATAAAGTTTAACTTCTTCTTCTTTTTCAATAGGCACGCATTGTCTTCCTTTTTTGTCTTCCCATCTCTGAGTGTTCATTACTGACATCATGTGCAGCTGCTCGTCATTTATTAGTCTCCCATCAGCCGTTCGTTTGCTAGCTGCTGGACTTGAGACAGAGCGTTACTGTGGGGAAATTCAATTCAATCAATGACCCATGGATGCAGACTCTCAGAGTGTATGTGATGGACACCATGAGGTCTGTCCAGGATCAGGATCAGCCAGTCAGTCATTTAACTGACATCTGCTTATTCTCGACAACATCGAATCCAAAACAAAACTCCCTCAGCGCACCACCTCCCCAACTCCCCCACCCCTCCCCTCCTACCGAGTGTAGCAGATATGCAGCCCAAAGCTGACTTGGTTCTTATTTTTTTGAAGTAGTGTACACCTAAAAATACTCTGCTTCTCTTTGGAAAATCTTTTGGTTTTGCTTCAGTTGTACTCCCTGAGTGGGCGGGGCCATCTTTCTTCCGCCCATCTTCCACGATGTGGTAGCACGGCTAACTGTTGGAGAGGGAGAGCTTCATGCAAAAAAATATATTAAACATGTTGAGCCTCTGAGTGAAACATAAATCAAACTGAGGGAGACGCCTTCCCTTCAGTGTGAACACAGAGCTGAGAACAACAAGCCCAGAGGGAGTTGGACTTCCCTCCCTTTTTCAGAAATTCATTTCTCAACGATATATAGAATATATTTAATGTCTGCTATATTAATGTTAAATTGTGCATAATATACCTTAAATGTAAACTCCTGCTAACTGTCTAATTTGCAAAACAACATTTGCTGGCAACGTTTCGGGTTGAGAACATGCACACCAAAAATTCAAAAAAACTGAGCCAATTCTAAATATCTTGTCAATTCAGAATTTTCAGTTCAGGTGACACTAAAGATCCCAAAAGATAATTTAAGATCCAAACACAAACTCAGAAACGTTGCAGTAGATCAAACATACAAAAATGGCAAGTATCATACTTAATACTTGGTCACATATATCATACAGTAAAAGCCTCGATGACCGATATGTTTGATAGCAAGTTTTTTAGCCCTGCGTTAACTTTTCCAGAAGGAATGGCCCTCAGGCTGGGTTAGAACATGGATTTGGTTTTAAATCTTTGGATGGCTTGAATTAAGCTGGATGCCTAATTTATGTCATACAAAGCCAACATAATGTCACTGTTATAAAAAATGGATTGACTCCTTGCTTCTTTGTACTGTTCCAGGACACTTCCTCTTGTATGCTTGCTATAATTCATACAGAAACACACATCAAAATATTATGAATTTATAAATACACTGGGGTTATTATGCAATATTAAGAGCTGTGCGGGCTTTGGAGATGCCTTTTTTTACCTTCAAGAAAATGGCTTTAAAAAATGGTTTGTTGTTTTCCTTATTATCTTGGATTTGTGTTATTTGTGCAAAGTTTTCTGCAACTGCAATAATCTGACGTTTATCTTT